AGGTTATTTACTCAGGAATCCCATTAGAAATCACTATTTTATTAGACCCCAATAATCTCATAACACACAACAAAGGAGACTGCAATGTGAAACTTTCTGACTGCTGTACTAATCTTCCATGGGCTTGAAATGCAGCCAGGATTGGTTGACATTCATTGAGCGTGTCATTTGAAGGGATACATTACTTGGTCAGATGTAAACTCATCGCTATAAAGTGTCACAACTGTAAACTATCTGTTAGCTCAGCCATGCTCAGTACATATTTTATCAAACTGAAATCACTTGAGAAATGCAATATTGGACTACATTCTTTATTGCCAGTCTATCACAACAAGATGAAAAAGTACAAGGTGAAGAAATAATCTCACTGCTGTGTTCTTTTAATCATCATGTAGATAATAACGAGTAATTTAAAACTTTTAGTTAGCCATTTTATTTTAAATTTGGAAGGCGACATGGACCACGTTTAAGATAATGTATATTCTGAAGCAATCTAAACTTAAATCCAAGTGATATATCTTTTCATAAAGTGCCGTGTCAAAAATGTAATATTGCTGCTATCGGTATTTCAGAAAAATATTTCAGGCATCATAAATAAATTGAAGTAGTTGTTAGTCTGGAACCAATCTATAAATAAGATGTCAACCTGCATGTCAAACCCTCGACACTTTCATTATATCAAAAAAGTCCTATTTGTGTGACTTTTAACTGAAACTTCACTCCAGTTTCGGAATAGATTTAGTTGTTTAAGGAGAAAACACAAATGTAGAAAAAAAACAGGATTGCATACTTGTTAAGTAGCTACCTCTACTGCTAGCATAGCTTAGTCATGTGAGCCTGACTTACTTGGTGGCATGCTAGCTTCTGGGTCAGAAGGTTGTGGGATCAAGACACATGTCGGGATTTTGAGATCTCAGTGTAAGGTGACACTCATTTCTGGGGGCTGCAAAACCAGGAAGCATACTGCATGCAAAGGCTATGGAAGTCTAATTGGACGTCGGAAATTTATGAAGCCCAAGGAGCGTATGAGAAAGACATGTTCTCAGGTTCCAGTGCAAGGTATTAGGGCAGCCTTTTGTGAAGGCCTTGAGGGACAGAGGCTTTGCTACCCTGCAGGAAGTTTGCACGGCCCGAGTGAGAGGTCCTCGGTCAGGATACTTGGTGGGCCTTGAGTTCCCAAACCCTGTCCTAGCAACTGTTCTCCAGATTAATTGGTTATTCGCTTCATGACGGTTGGTGGGATCTATTACAAGATAAAAATTAAATACTGAATCCTGGAAATGTAAAATACTGTATGAAAATGCTTAGGAATCCAAGGCAAATAGAAAAAAAAAATTATTTCAAGTAAATTCTTTCTTCAACAGAACACACCTGGAATGACCTAATTTGCAGTCTTTTGAAATGTTGGGATGAAGTTCTGGTTGGTGTTATGTGTAATGCCTTTGGCTATGGGATTTCCTCCATTGTAATGATGCCTCGCCAAAAGAGCTGTAGGTAATGCTAGAATTTCAGCTCTTAGATTTGGGGCTGCTACTTTATCCACTGCAACATTCTGTCAAACCATGACTTCCAATTATTACTGTTATAATAATGCTTTGAATAATGGCAGAGCCTGAAGCATTTAACAAACATTCCTTAACTTCACACATAAGCAAAACAGATTTTCTGCGCCCCCACAACTGTAGAATTCATAATATTCTTGGAATTAATTCAGCAGTTGTAATGTTGATTAGTCATAGTTCTGGTGGAAGAAAATATTACAAAGCCCTCTGAGAATTGAATGGTAAATTGTTACAGAATCCCACCTCCTGCACATCCCCCAACTGCACCATATTCACTGTGATGAGGACAGTGTTGTGAAGAGAACCTGACTGCACCTGAATACAAAATTCATAACCAATGATTTGCATTCCAAAGCATTCCATGTAAAACATTACAAAATGTGTATTAATAAAAAGCAATATAAAGCCACTTACATTGGAATTAGTTTCTTTAATACAAATGTTGTTATAACATTCGAGACACGGTGGAGCTTTAAAGCGAATTTTCTAATATGCATTTTCGTCTCCAATGAACCAAGCGCCAAAATAATTNAAAAAGAATTTAGGGAAAAACGGCTTCCAAAATTTAAGATTTTGCCAAACTCTAGATGCTTTGAAATGCAACGTAAATAGAATATGTGGAGTGCTATAGCGTAGTGGTTAGCACGCTCGCCTCGAAAATTAGAGGACCTGGGTTCGATTCCCGGGTGGGGCGAAACCTTACACCACACCCCAGCAAGTCTCCTTAATCCACACCCTGGCAGAAGTGCAAAAATGCTTTAGCGATGGAGGGAGTGTTCTCTTCTGTTATAGCCATTCTTTGTCAGCACCACGAGGAGTGGAAGCTAAGTCAAATGGACATTTTTTGTGCATTACCGGGGAGAACACCATGTGTGCGCTTCAGTGAAACAAACAATTCATATTGAATTAATGTTGATCTTCATGCTTCATAATAAATAAACTATTAATTTGAGACTCAGTTGAGTTGGTGGGAATTCTAACAGGACTGTTATGGATTTTTGTATAAATATTATGTAAAAATGGACTTCCTTGCCTTATGTCTTTTTCTGAGATGTATCATTTTTATGATAACAAGATGTTATTGATTGGTCTCTAATCTTAAATTGTTTATCATTGGCTATTTCTGCTAGTTCTTCAAATGTTTATAGACAGAGCTCATCATTTTTGCATCAGAAATCAATATTTGAGTGATTGTATGTAAATGGGAGGGTGGGGGCAGCTTGCTAGCCTTAAAGTATAAAGGCAAGTTTTGAATGGGTTAATTTTCTTCCATTGAAAAATTGTAAACAATATACTTAACAGAAATCTAATTTTACTAAATTGTCCTCAGGAATCGGTTTTACTAGTAGATAGATTTTCCAGTGAATTTTCAACTGATTGTAGTGGAATAATGGAAACTCTCCAGAAATGTTCATAATATCAATTTCAGGCCATTGATTTTCTGGTTATGGCAGAAAATCAGGTATCCAGCTGATTAGCTCACAGACTCGTAGGATTCAGAATGGATAAAGTAATACAGTGGGTACTTTACAAAACATTAGACTTCAATGGCTGGTTTTCCAGAAATAACTCATTACTGTTTATTTCACAACCACAATTGTTATTGTTCACATTTTCAAATGCTATTTCTCTCCTTTATCTTAAATACCTCAAACTCGTAGTGTTGGTTGCGCCAAGATAATAGGGCAAGTGTATATACGTGTAGAGTTGCAAAGGACAGAAAATATGAAAGTATTTCTTCACTCATTGGGTTTCAGGGAGGGTGGTTCAGAGCAGGATACTGACTCTTTTTTCAAAAAAAAGCTTGATTCTGTGATGGAATAACAATGGGGTAGGTACAGTGGAAGGATGAGATCAAATGAACTGAAGGATCTTCTTTATCCAAACTAATCTTGTGATCTTGTCAAATTGATCCCAAGCCTCTGCAACACTGCTCGTGAGACAGTATGAGAACAAGGTATACAAATGCTGCTGGGTCCTTCACCTCCTCCTTGTATGGAAATACCTAGCCTCTTTAATGGTATTCAAGTCACGGAACTGTTAATGGCACAGCACATTGCAGCACTGCAATCTCCCATGATTATTAAATTAGCAGTCAAAGAAGTGCCTTGAACTTTAAATGCTTTATATCTTTGAGGCTGGCTCCCTACTTTGAGTTATCATTTTTTGTCAAATTTCTATTTGTGTACCTTCTAGATCAGCTAGAAGACATCACTTGCACCAGATGGGATTGACTGTCCATTTTTCTTTACTGCATAGGTACTTATAGGTACCTTATTGCATGGTAGCATTTAACCTTGAGAATCGACCAAAAACTAGTGAAGTTGGCTGATGAGGACTAGCCATTAAGAATTGCAGTCAAGGCTACGTTTTGAAATTCTGTTTGGGAACTTAACTACTGTACAGCTATGACTAAGCATCTGTCACAGTGTACAGGAATGATGTTACATGGTGCAATGAATCATAAATGGCACTTGAATATATTGTACAGGGGTTTACCAGTGAGAGACTGGTAACTTGAGGTTTCAGAGTTTTTAGATATGTTCTTAGAATAAGATGCTGCACTATATCAGAAGTTGACTGATTGAGTGCTATTGACTGAACAGTTTGATAAAATGGAGAAAGCAAAACTTTGAAGCTCAGTTACAAGTCAATTTGAAACACCTTCATTTTTATACCGACATTGATATAAACACTCTAATTCGAAGACTCTATGTTCTATGCTTCCTTAAGTCGTATGCATACTCTGAACGTAATTGGACATATTGGGTGGAAAAATGTGACATATGATGTGATAATTATCAAATAGACCAAAATTGTGGTCAAAGCAGTCTTGAATTTGCTATTCTTATGTTATGGGAATGGAGATAGAAAATAGTGCAAAATTAACAGATCAATTTCTCTTGCATCAATGGATTAGAGTGTGACTACAAATAAAGTCCCATTGCCCAGGGGATATTGGCACAATGGGACAACGGTAATTTCAGGAAATATAAGAGAGGAAGCTCATTCTGAGTAAAATTAACCTCTACATTTCCACAAGTGAACTGCAAAGACATCAATCTTAAAGACAAGGGATCATATTTATTTTGCTGTGATGTCAACTTTTAATATTGCAAATAAAGTCCAAGAAAAGACACCTACAACTGAATTAAAAATTAAACAATATATAACACATTTGAAGCTGTGAGTGCTGTCGCTTGAAGCTTTGCTATCAGTGCATTGGGAAGGTAAAAGTAGTGGATTTGGAGACAATCCTATCATTTATTGTGTTCAGAAAATTTCCACTATTATGAAAGCTTCTGTTTTCTAACAAAAAATCACAGCATTAATGTCTGTATTGCGTATAGTGAGAACTGCTGATCCATTTAAATTCTCCTTTGAGGCAATCTCAAATCTACGTCAAATGGATAAATAATATTTATTTCTCTTTCAAAGGTGAAAATGAAAATGTAGATGAAAGGAAAAGAAAAGAGAAGTCTCCAGCTTCGGAACGGAGAGTTCTCTCTGCCTGGGGTCTTCACCCTCTGGAACACAGCAACCCACAATGTCAAAGAAGGGTGCTGGCGCACGAGCTAAGGGAGACAAGCCTGATGCTTTAGCTGCCTTACAAGCTGCCAATGAAGAGCTCAGAGCCAAATTGACTGACATTCAAATCGAACTTCAGCAAGAAAAGAGTAAGGTGTGCACTGTTTCTTTTTTCTAATCTCTTACGATAAATTAAACTGCAGTTTATAGTTACAAAACAATACAAAATTACATTTGTAATAGCGCCTTTCACGTCGGGAGGATGGGAGCAGCTAAAGCAAACATGATTTGAATTATACACTCATGCACTTTTAGTAAGGATAATTGGGTGGCAAATAAGGAGGGACTCTACCTGCAAATTCTTCTCTTGAGCACAGGAACGCTGAAGTAAATTGTAACATATCCACTGCATCCCCAGATAGGCTCAGCTAATTAAGCACAGATTAGAATCGAACCTGGGGCTTTCTTGGTCTGGGAGACTTGGTCCCAACCTCCATAATGCATTTACCAATCCAAAGTCGAATATTGGAGGTGCTGAATGGTGTTTTACCATCAATACTTACCCCCACAGAAACACACTGGGTTCCAAGAACTTGGTAAACTAAATAATTTTGTCTGAGGCATAATAGGCAAATATCAAGCTTCTTATTGCTCTTGTATTCAGACACAGGATAACATTTAGATTTAACATTGTGGTGGTATTCTTGAACCATGGTGGGAATAGAGTCTAATATGCACAAAACCTCCTGACCTACTCAACCATCTAGACGGAATGGTCTTCCAGGGATTAATGGAGCCCACTGATTGCAATCACAAAATGATAGCAGGTGAACATTTTACGAACAAGATGACAGTAATTTATAGAAGCTATGAAGATGAAAATTTTGTGTTATATCATGTGTCTATAATCATGCTAATGCACCTATCCAGTAATAGGAATAGACAGCTTTTTATTACATGTGGATAGGATACTAATTCTTTTCTTGAAATACACTTCATAGTTCTGTGTTTTAAAAAAAAAGGAATATATGAGAGACAGTGGCACTGCTTTGTTGGTGGAATAATATCTGTGGCCCATAGTCGTGGGTTCCTATAGCCATATACCATATGGCTCACAATCTCAGATATCATAAGCACATCAGTGGTCAGATGTATATATGTCCTATATCTGTACCTTTTTACCAAATGCTGGCTTTCACCACGGCAGAAGCTTGGGAACAGAGGTCTGATCTTTCTGTGGAGTAAAATATTCTTTTTACCTTCTGCAACTTTGACAGTGTTTTTTTTCAATTCTGAGCCACATCCTCAAAGGCACTACACTCAGCAGCAAGAAGAATTTTCACCCTTGCTGTGTTTGGTAGAGAGCCCGAAAGAGATGACTGAAAGTGCAGTCTAAGTGGTATGTTTTGAGACGTGCCTTGAACGAAGGTAGGGAAGAAGCAACTTGGAGAGACTTCAGGACGGAGTTCCAGAGAGCAGGATAGAATGGTTGAAAGCCCGTGCAGATAGCGAAACAGTTGCTGTTTTGATCTTCCTCCACGAGAGGCTTGTACAAACAATTATTTAAATTGTGACACTCCCCTTCTTGACTGCTTGCCTTGCAGGTGAAAAAAACAAGCAAATGTCCCAATAAACCTACATTATAATGGGTATAATGGGTCTAATACAGACCCTAGAACAGAAGCAATGGAATATCACAAAAAGAATATCTAAACTGGCTTTACTGCATGGTGAAGCTCGAGCACTGCTCAATGATATTTGAATTTCATTGGCACTTCTAATTCTGCATTAATGAGGATTTCTGTGACTGCTCCTCCCTCCTTGTTGCACCACAGAATATAAATCCTCCTTCAGCAATGAAGCAAATGGAAATATTAGAATTTCATGCTTTGTGCACCATTAACCTTCATTGATGCCATTCCCATTTAATGGAAGCTCTATGGTGATTAAATATAGCCCTCATAGAGTGATTGTGTGATAGATGGGAAAAGGAAGGAACAATGAACTTGTTTGCCTGTGAAAGAGGTGGGGACTGAAACTCAAACAACAATTCAAACATTATTATTACCAGATTTTCCTGCAGTTCAGATCCTGTTTATTCTTATCTTTGAGTGCTGATTAAACAAAGTGGGTTTGTTGAAAGTGCAGTGTGAATTCAGTTTTAGAGATGTTGATTCCTAATCTTAAATTTAACTCCTTGATTTCAGAATGCCATTAGCTGAAGTATAACTCTACCTTAATGCAGCTGATTATAACAAACTTAAGCTTAAACGATATTAGACATAGCGTTAGGTTTATTATGATAGAAAGCCGGTCACGCTTCCAGCTCTTTAATAAAATTTAAAAATAAATGAAATAACATTTCAAGCTGTTTAGTGTAAACTTAGTTGCTATGTGAATTGTTTCAGGCAGTGTCTTTAAGAGTAGCATTAATACCTTTTCCTGAGTTAAAATAATTGCTGTATGAACATGTTTCTTTTTCGACTCTATTCTTTCATGCCTCTCAATCCCCAGGCAGAGACTGAGCTATAGCTGTGAATAGCCTTGGTGGGAATACCAGTCCCATCTGTCTGGAGAATGTGGCAAATAAGATGCACCTGGGAAACAAATGTGAAAACATGTCAAGGGGACCACATATACAAGCAGCTTGTCTGATGCCAGTGTTTAAAACAATCCTGTTTTGTTACCTTTGCTTTAGAATTTTGGTTTAGTATTAATCTAACACCTCCCTGAATTTTATCAACGCTACTCTACAGTTGTTTCAAAAATGATAGATCCCATGACATTCCTGTTAAATATTTTAACATGGATTCTTATTACACCTCATTAAAACAGCTGTATTCTCATTTTGGTAAAATATAACACTACTTATTCGAAATAATATCACAAAGTCAGAGGTGTGCAGTCAGTAACTAAACCAAATATATGTGAATGGTTTTTATTGGCAAAATGCCACAAGCACATCTCATGGAAAATCGATCAGGACTGTAATATGCTGACATATCTGAGTTTGGGATTACAGAGGGAATGATAAGTGTTGAGACCTGAAAAAATATATAGTATAAAGATACTATTCAAAAAAATCATGCATCTTCTTAGCTTAAATAGACTTCTTGTCTATGTGTCAATTGACTGAAGTTCACCAAATACTTTTAGTTTAACTGAAAAGCATACATTATATGAAATGTATTTCCACATCTATAAAAAGTGATCTTGCAGCATGCAAAACAAATGCATGCCTGAGTAAATTGGATATATATTTAAAATATTTTGCAAACAAATGTACAATTTGTTCTGGGTATTTAAGTGATAATGTCCAGTTGCCAAGAAATAAATTCAAGAAACAGTCATGAAACAATAAATGGCTCAGTGACTGATTAAATGCGAGGGTTACAGGCTAAAAAATGTAATCAAAGCATAAAAGTGACTTATTGCTTGCTCTATGTGTTCCTGACACATGGAGGTTATTGTTATTGTATTACATTTGAGTGAAAATTACAGAGATAAATTTTAGTTAATAGAAACTTAACTTATTCAATTTCAATCTTGATGGCCGATCACAGAACAGCTGAATCAGTCTAGATTGCAGATTCTTCATGGACGATAAATGCATCCCGATGAACAACATTTCAAAGAAGGGAATCTTATTTATTTTCTACTAAGTCTATTTTCCTGTTTATTGGCTCTTCTTTTCTAAACTCGTTCAACACACACGATTGGGTAGAAATGAGACTCCCTTTAACACACATTCCTTAGCTTTGAGGGTAACCAGTGAACCTCTGTCAGGCTCAATCACGGTCACTTTCTAACTGTCCATATTCAATGATAATGGAGTCCTGTCTGGATTATTCTTGATTTTGTTGCTTTGTTGATTTTTGGACGTGCCTGCCTCTGGCACGGGGCCTCTCTTGAATAAATCTATTTCTCAGATAAACATTCATGTTACTCTAAAGCATTTATTTTGCCCTACAGGATGTTATTGAATGCAGTGTATATTTGGAAATATTTTCCTTTTATACATCCTCTCGCAGATTTAACCAGATGGAAAAAATGAAGGAGCTGTAGTGTTCAGCACTTCTTCCTGAGGTAGTGTATACTGGGAGGTATATCAATCATCATGAGGAGTGGTTCTGCTTAGAATATTTGTAACCACTTTGATCTAACACCAGCCTTTACAGTCCTATGTCTCTACATTAATTTTTTATGAATTCAGTTTGCTCCAGCACTCATTTCATTATTATTGATCCAAGAAAATGCTCTTCTCAATTTGACATGCATTAACCATGAATTTCCCTCCTCTGTTTTGCTCCATTATTCTATTTCTGGCCTTTATTATTTCTACCCTTTAGCAGTAATTTCAAAAGGGGCTTTCTGCACCCCATTATCACAGTGGTTCTTCTACATAATGTCTGCAAATCTGATGTGATTCATTACCTTAGTTCCCAGCAGCTATAATGCAGGGTGAACTTTCTGCTTCCATTAATTATTTTCTACACTGTTTGCATTCATTTAAAGATATCACTTCAGGCCATTAGTTTATCTCTTTTGTTTAAAGCCCGCTCTGGATACAAATTGTTGGCTTAATTACTTAATAGTGCTTTTGTTTTAAGTTATTAAATCTTAAACCATGTCCTGTTCATATCAGGTTATGGCTATAATTGTATAATATTGCCTAAGGCAGGAATGGATTGAGACCACATATACTTCTAAAGCAGAACTGAATAGTATATTTCTGACCAATGGCAAACCATTAACAATTTCACCCTTAAAAAAGTGAAATTCATTTTGCATGAAGAATCAAATCGGAAAATCGTTTAGATCCTGAAGCAAATTGATTTTGGTGCAGAATGTCACTGCAGTTCTTAAAACCTGCGGTTCTCCGAAAAGATCAGACATTTTGAAATATTCATTAGCAATGGTGCTTTTTAAAGATTTGAATAACACTCTAAACATTTATTCATTGATGTTACCATGGAATGTTACTTTGACAGGTGTTACTGTGCACAATGCCGATTGAATTACTAGTTGTCCTCCAGTGCTGATATTGCACTGATCAATGTAAAGTTGTGGACATTGCACATGGGAGCTTTTGAATCTACCATTAAGTTCCATGGCAATTGTTTTTATTTGTAAAAGGCTATCAGCAGCAAATTGTAGATGTTATGTTCTATTATTAGGTTGCATGGTGTGAACACTTGCCAAGACACAGGTATGTTTTAATTTTCCAGTTACAAATTCCAGGTATGATAACAAATTACACGTATGCTAACAACTGGAATGTGTTACCAAATGAGGACACCGTACTCATTTAAGAAACAGCTTGATGCTGTAATGTAAGGACGTTAGTTTGAGAATTCTGGAAGGAGGATGTCAAATCAACCTTCTTCTTCCAAAATTACAGGTGGCGTAACATGTTACATGAATGTTCAAACGTTCCATTACAGGTTACAGTTTTTAATGCACCATTAAGAAATTTTAGGTGGTATCACATGGCCTGATAGCAAATTACATGGGGATTAACATGTAACATGAGTTACAAGTGTGTTTGCATGTGTCATGAATACATTCCACGTGTGCTCCTTAGCAAGTTATAGACATGCTTGCAAATCTCTTTGACAGGTTGTGGGTATTTGCACATAATTGTGTGTGATTTTGTTCCCAATTTTGTGCTTGTGTCAACATAAAAATACTGAGGCTGTAGCATTTTGTTATAAAAATCTGCGACTGAAGGAGCATATAAAAATACAAAAAAAACTCTAAAAACAAAATATTAACATGAAGTCTTGTCAGACTTCCTCAATTTACACTTATGTAATGCATCAGTGAAAGCAGTCTGGTGGAAAATGTAACAGAATGCTGACTGGATGTCCTTCTAGAACATTGCTTCCTTGTTTAGCTAGCTTCTTGCTGACTGACCCAAGTCACTGCGATGTGTGTGTATATATATATATGTGTGTGTGTGTATATGCGATCCTGATGTGACACAGTAAAGCCCACCTTTAATCAATGATTTTTGTCTCCAGGCAACAGAATGCAGCTTTGCTGCATTGAAGTGCCTCTTGGGCATTGACATGGCTGGATTCTGGGTCCAGTGTAGTGTAAATGCTACAGACCATATGTGCTGCAAGAGAGTTTTGCTAGGATCAAATGTAATTGAAGTTCATGACTAAAATTTAGAAAAAAATGGAGTTACAATCCTGAACAGATCATAAGAGGGAATACCAGTAAAATTTGTGCAGTGGCGTACATCAAATTTAAACAAAATGGGCATATAAATAAATACAGATAATAAAAATTGATTTGATTACAAAACAGTGCAGAACATTCTGTAGTTAATTCTGCATAGAAAGAAAATCTTGAACACATGACTCGTCAGTGATCTTCAATCTCTGATTTTTAAGTTCAAGCTCTTGACTCGAAAAAACAAAATGAATTAACTGGCCTCCAGCATTGATGGAGATATGCAACACTTTCTGTAGTTTCAAAAGGTCATGTCTCGTATGTAAGGAAAATTAAGTGCTAAAAGTATGAATAAGTCATACTGTAAGTGGTTATTAAGGAGCCAGCACAACAGTATAGGCATTATATACAGTACATTAATACTGTGAAGCAGATACTAAAGTATCTGATAGTAAAGTATTAGTTAGAATTCTATTTCAAGGGATCAACTAAAGAACACAGTTGGTCAGAGTAGCAATCATTGCTTATTCTGCAAGATATTTTACCTTTTACCTCTGATCTGTGAATTTGGAGGTTTTAACAGGACATGCCAGTGATCCTTTCTAAAAGAGGTATTTTTAAAATGGCCTTATACATTCCTTACTGTTAAAGTTCCAACAAAGAAACTCCCAGAAATTACAGTGCAAAGCGGGAATGCCTGTCTTTCTTGAAAAGGGATGAACTGTATTATTCTAATTGTATTTACTGAAACTAACTTTCCTGTCTTCATTTTATTTACTTGTGATCAAATTTCCTTGCATATTGAGAGCAACTGAATATGCCCCCCCTCCCCCCCCCCCCCACCAAACAAAACAAGCTAAGGTTTGAGATTTTACATGGCAAAATGAAGCAAAGCACTGAATTATCCAATTTGGATTTCCAAGCACCAACGGTCAATCTAACTGCACATGGGGAATTATTCTGTTCTGTTCTTCAGGTTAGCAAGTTGGAACGTGAAAAAAATCAAGAAGTAAAGCAGATCAAAGAGCAGGAACAGCACAAGCACACTGTGCTCGTGACTGAACTGAAGGCCAAGCTTCACGAAGAGAAAATGAAGGAACTGCAGGCTGTCCGAGAGACACTGCTGAGGCAACATGAAGCTGAGCTTCTCCGAGTCATCAAAATTAAAGATAATGATAATCAGAGACTTCAGGCACTTGTTAATGCCTTAAGGGACGGGGCCGCTGAAAAAGTGAAATCAATGCTTTACACTGAGGCTAAAGAAGAAGCTAGGAAGGTGTTTGAGGTTGAGAAAATTAAAATGCAACAGGAATTATCTGAACAGAAGGGAGCCAAGAAACAAGTGGAAGAAGCTTTGAGCCAGGCTGTCCATGCAGACAAAATGAAAGCTGCAGAAATAAGAAGTATTTACCACCTGCACCAGGAAGAGATCTCCAGGATAAAGAGGGACTGTGAAAGGGAAATCCGGAGACTGGTACGTATTGATTTGTTAACCCTGAGAATGTATCTGACTAGAAAGTTAAATAAAAAAAGGTAGCATTTAAACCTACTGAATAAATTATTGAGTCTAGTTTAACTCTTTGAAACTATATGAGCAGCAACAAGCCAATACAGGCCTGTAGGTTTAGTTTTCATTTCTATTCTGTGCTGAGTTACCTGATCTCAGCTGGAACAGTAGATAAGGTGCTGTAGACAGCCTTATTACTATTGATGGAAGGCTCATGTGTGGATGTCAAATGAGGGCAGATTTAGGTTCGGATTTGATGTGGACCCACAGTCCAATAGTTTGCAGACATACACACGAATGGGCAGGGTACTGGATAGCAACTATGGAATCATACCACTGGAAAAAGAGAAAGGAGTCATATGTCTTCAGGGAAATGTGGAGGTGAGAAAATTGGTGAAAATAATACCCACACAACTGTAGATTTATTTTTAAAAATACCTTTCCTGTTTGATATCAAAACTGAGGTGCTACATGTTTCAGAATTCCCATAGCAGGAATCATGGTAGATGTGATCTGTTACCTCTCCAGTCGTTGCTAAGAGATGAAACCCATTAGATTTCTCAATATTATATTGCAATTGCGAACTAAGAACTACTGTAAGCAGCCGATTAAAAACAACAACAACAAATTGCATTTATACAGTGCCTGTCACATCGGAAGGATGTCCCAAGGCGCTGGACAATGAGGGGTTTGCACCTGAACTGCGGGTTGGAATCAGAGAGGGTGGAGGACAAGGGATGTCCAGGAGGGAAGGTGACCGAAGGTACAGTCAAAAAGGAAATGTTTTAGACAGGCCTTGAAGGAGGCAAGGGAGGTTGGGAGGCAGAGAGGCTCCAGGATGGAGGATAGTGGAGGAGTCAGGGTGGCGGTACGGAGCAGACCAGTTTCTGCAGAGCGAAGGGAACAAACAAGTTGGTGAAGCTTCAATAGGTTGCAGAGGTAAGTAGGAGCTTTTAAGGTGAGAACAAGGATGTTGAACTCGATCCTCTGGTGGATGGGGAGTCAGTGAAGCTGGGCAAGGATGGGAATAAGCGGCTCACGAAGCTTAGTCCAGGAGAGGACATGAGCTGTAAAGTTCTGAATAATCTGCAGCTTGTGGAGGGAAAATTTGGGAAGTTCGGTGAGCAGGGAGTAAGTAAAGTCATGCCTGGACATAATGAAAACGTGAATGAAGGTTTCAGAAGTCTGAGGAGAGAGACAGCAGTGGAGGCAGGCAATGTTGCGGAGGCGAGGGAAGGCAGAATGGATCATGGTACGGATGTGGGGTTTAAAGGATAGTTGAGGGTCAAACGTGACTCCAAGGTTCTGTGCTGGCTTTTGTGAGGAGGAGATTGCAAACATGAAGAGTGATGCTGTCAGCGCCTGAGGTGAGAAGGCTCTGATGAGAGACGAGTAGTAGAGCATCAAACTGTCGACATTCAACAGTAGGAAACTGGCTCTCATCCAAAACTTGATGTCTGACAGACAATCCATCAGAGGAGCAGTGAATCTAGAATTGAGGGTGGAGGCAGAGATAGAATTGGATGTCTCTGCATACATGGTGAATTTGCCAAAGGATGTATGTATTTGCCAAAAAAAGACTGAGTTCTGTTTGCTGTAGATTTACAGTGTCTTTTGAGCAGCTGGTTCCTATATTACAACCTTTCTTTTGGTGCTTGTTTTTTTGTTAATTGATGACAACTCTATGTGTTTGTGAATTAGGGAAGTGATTTGGAAAATTGCCAACTACAAATGGGCTAAAGAACAATGTTTCACTACTATTGATTATCATTTCTCCGGCAACCAACCTTGGTTACCAAAAGTAATCATTCATATATCATTAATATTCCTTTTATAGGATTGCTTATTACAGATAACATCCGCTGTACAGTTATGCCTTAAAATTCACTTCTGCTGAATAAACTCCATTAGGCCTAAGGACAAAGATCAATAAGAATGAAAAGTTGTATAAAAGACTGCTGGAAGATAATTTCAATGTTTTTTGATTTATCTCTAATTGAATGTTATACAACAACCGCTTGCATTTATATAGCGCTCTTCACGTGGGGTAACGTGCTGGAGCGCTTGACAGTGGTGGAGCCTGACACCGAGAGAGGGGAACTGGGAGGTAGGAAGTTACCATAAGCACGATCAAAAAGGAAGGTCTTCAGGCGGGATTTGAAAGTGGGGAGGGATCGTGCAAGGCAGAGGGATTGAGGAGGAGAGTTCCAGAATTTCGGGGCGCAGTGGCTGAAGGCACGGACACCTATTCTGGAGTGGAGGGGACGAGGGACACACAGGAGGTCGAAGCCAGTAGAGCGGAGTCAGCAGGTGATGAGGGGGGATAAGCAGATCGGATAATTTACGAGAACATGAAGGGATTTGACAACAAGTGAGGGGATCTTAAAATCAATCCGTTCGGTAATTGGGAGCCAGTGGAGCCTGGCGAGGACTGGTGTGAAGGAGGTACGGAATTTTGTGTGGGTTAGTATCTGGGCGGCGTACTTTTGAATTAATTGGATTTTGTGTATGGCGGAGCTGGGGAGACCAGTGAGGAGGAAAGTGACAAAAGTGTGGACGAGGGTTTCGGCAGCGTTGGTTGTGAGGTAGGGACGGAAGCGGGCACATTTATATTTCACATTTTGAAAAATCTGACATTTCATAACAAGGCTTTGTGTGAAATGTCAGGATAGATATTCTTATATTAAAACATGTGAACTGGCAAGCTGGCTGTGATCCCTGCTGTTTCGGAAGCTGAAGAAATAACTTATCACAGAGCACTAGATGCAGATGTAATAAGAGTTATCTTTTCTAAGATGATTTATCTTGATTAAAAATGAAAAAGCCAGCAAACTACATTAGCTCAAACAAAATAATGTATTGTTTTGTTGTAACCCAATGTAAAATTGCTAGGCTGTAGGTCCACCCAACCTTAGTAATTGATATCACCTGAATTAACCGATTTCATAACCCAGTTAACTGAAGGTACCAATGTCAGACTAGTACTTGTAACGGAGTGATGATTCACTGTGTGTTTGGGGTGCAACAAGCTTCTCTGCATCAGTCTCTATTTTATAACAACAACAATATTACATGTGTATAGTGCCTTTCACAAGGTGCTGGACAGACAGAGTTACGGACCCGAGATGAGGATCGGGGTGGTGGAGGGCAGGGGAGGAAGCAGGAAGATCGGAATCACGGTCAAAGAGGAGGGGCTTGAGGGGGTCTTGAAGATGGTGAGGGGGCGAGATGGAGAGACTGCAGGATGGCGTTCCAGAGGGTGGGTGCTCAGTGGTCGAAGGCCAGCCCACCGATAGTGGGGCGAGCAAGGCGGGGGACGTGAAGTAGGCCGGAGCTCGCTGAGCAGAGGGAGCGAACAGGGTGGTAGGGGGTTAAGAGATCGCAGAGGTAGGGGGGAGCAAGATCATGGAGGACATTGAAGGTGAGGACCAGGATTTTGAACTGTATCCTCTGTGTGATGGGAAGCCAGTGGAGTTGGACGAGGATGAGGCTGATAGGGTCGCGGAGCCCAGTGCAGGAGAAAATGCGGGCTGCAGAGTTCTGGATGACCTGCAGCCCGTGGAGGGAGGAGTTGGGGAGGCCAACAAGCAGTGAGTTTGCATAGTCAAGCCTCGATGTAAAGAAGGCGTGTATGAGGGTCTCGGCGGCCTCGGTGTGAGACAGTGTCGGAGCCGGGCGATGTTGCGGAGGTGGGGAAAGGCAGAGCGGGTTATGGCGCAGATGTGGGGTAGAAAGGATAGTTGAGGGTCAAATAAGACCCAAAGGTTCCGGGCTGGCTTAGCAAGGTGGAGTTTGCAACCATGGATGGTGATGGTGTCAGCGCCTGAGGTGAGGAGGCGCTGTCGGGAGCCAATCAGGAGAGCCTCGGTCTGATACAAACCATACTTAATACAGAAGCATGAAAATCTTGTCAAATCTGCACAACAAATATTTGGTATAATTGTCACATTAGATCAAATTGTAAATAGAGTACTTGAATTTTAATCTGTTGAAATAATTTATAGTTTGGATTGGTTTATATCAAAACATAACATATAGGGTATAAGGAAGGTTCATGGGATTGAATGAGCACCTTGTTTGAGAGATGGTGCAAACACGATGGACCAAATTACCTGCTTCTGTGCTGTAAATTCCTACATTTCTATGAGGTACATAAGTGCTGCATCCCAAAGTGCGCTGGAGGCCTAAGCACTTGTTGTAGTTTGCGCTTGGACTGCTATATGCAGTGAGTTCTCATTCTCCAAATTGAGGCCAAATCCTTTTCCACTGAGAGCAAGATTGTAAATGAAATCTCCTCAGGCCACTATTATACGCCCTCTAGCAGACTGGTTCACAACAGGGTTGGTTGCAGGTCAACCAATTGTCCCCTTGAGTGTGATACTACCTGGCACATGGAAAAAGACAGAGAGAAAATACCCTCAGACCAAAACAGTACCAAATGTATTTTTGTGTGTTGCCATTTCCTATATGCAAACATGTGCCACCTTCTGTGGAACTCCAGCACATCCAAATCTGCAGTCTAACAGAGGAACTACTGTGGTCAACAAAACATCCGTTTTATTTGTTTTTACTTCAAAACAATCAAGGTTATTGGTTTCCTTGTGATCAACAAGAGAGACAGAAAAGTGATCAAAATTCAAAGGTCAGTAATGTAATAATGTGGAGTATGCCATCCACTTTCCCTCTTGTTAGAGTGCAAGTGATATTTCCAGATAGTCGAGAAACAATAATAACTGAGACTTATACATATAATGCTGTCACATAGGAAAACATCTTAAAGTGTTTCCATAGAGACAGAGTGGAAACATGTTCATTCACCGGCTGTTGAGATTAGATCTTTGGATACAGCCTCATAAATGCCCATATTTATGAATTTTAAAACTGAATATCAAAGTACATATGCTCAGAAAGGAATTCTGTAAAGTCAAAGATAATCTTGGTAATGTAGGAAAAAACAAATGTGGCAT